ATTGCTTTTATTCATAAATCTACTTCGTTATATTTTGATGGTAAACAATCTCTGTGCTAATGTGATATGGTTACTGAAACTGAAACGTACGAAGTTCTACGTTTTTACTGACTGATGGTAAACAGTCATTATTGAAAATTAGTCATCTCTGTATTTATATTGTAAAAGGAAATCAGTCTCCTTGTTTTAAAATCATAAGTGTTAATTGGGATATGCAATCTAAATGCATCAAGACTTAACTGTTTTTGGATTTGATTAGTAAATTGTAGTGTTATTCTGAGAACTGTGGGTATGATTTGAATTCACTGTCTTCAAAATTCAAGCCTTGATCACTAGGTACCTTTACAAGACCTCATCAAAGTAACTGGTACGATCATTAATGTACTGAAAATACGTTAAGTTTAGAAGAAGATCCACTGAATTTTTCAAAAGTTAGCACATGTTCATATGTTTTTGTTAACTTCGAGTGGACTAATTTACACCAATCTTTTAGTCAAAAATTTCAAAAAAACCGTACATATGCAACAGAAAAATTAGTGATCGGAACGCTCCACGGAGGTGCAATCATTAGCTACATCTGGTAAATAAGGAAGTCTGCTTTGTGTTTTCCATGTCACAAACAATAAGAATCTCACTTTTAGTGGACCGTTCTCTGAGGTTTGTGCCATGTTTGTTAATAATTACCAAGAGCTAATTTGGAATACTTACTACAGAAAATTGACGTTTTCAACTCGTTTATATTTCCATATATTCAGAATTTCACAAACATTACTAATTTTGACGTCGGTTTTCAACCCGATGGATTATCCATTTTTCTGCTGTAACACATTCTCATCTTTTCATTTATTCATATTCGACTCCTATACATCATGACGAGTAGGATTTGTTTGAAAGGACCAGTATAGCAAATTCATTGTAAGTTACTGACTAGGCAGGTTTACTTTTTAATTACATGGACCCTACGATACAATAACTCATGTAGATAGGCATTATGTAGTTATCCTTCCCATATCTTAACGTAGGTTATTTTGGCTTCTTCAAACCTAATGTATTTTTCCTGGTGTGTGTCGCTGACCAAACCTTACTGCTAAACCTTATTTCCTAAACTTTCACATTTTATTTACAGTGGCTAAGTAGATTATTTAGTTCTAATCCATTTTGTTTACAATGAAGTCACAAAAAAATCAGAGCGGATAGTGGGAACAGGATATTCTCACGTTGTATATGCTTCTTTTAAAAGAATAAGTAGTGCTTCAAGATGGGATACAAGTTAACTAAATTCTCGTACACTATCATGCTTTGTATTTGTTTGAATACCTTCTTTACGCCGGGGATTGTAAATTTTGTCTTTTTTTCCAGTTGCGTGTTGAAAACGAATGTAAATGTAATTTGTCTTCAGTTGTACATCCCTTCGAAAGTCATCGCAAAAAACATCAAGAAAAATGTCTTTTGTCGCGGCGAGGTCACTTCAAACTCCTAACTAGACGTCCCTACTTAAAGAAAACAAAATAAATAACCAGTTCACTACAATGTAACTTCACTTCCTTTTCACCACCTGTCTGTTTGTACTTCATAACTTTGCTTCATTTATTTGTTTTACCCAGAACGTTGCTTAATCCTATTGCCTTTTCTTATTGGATCAACTTCTCATTATTTTGTCCAAAGTATTGTGATGACCATTTATGCAAATATATTCAGATTAACTGAAGTGTCATGTTGTCATTTGAGTTGCCATTAACTGAGATTCTGACATTTTTCATGACTCCTGGCTTTCTGATTTTTTATAAGTATCTATTTCGAGTAGTGCTTATGAATTCCTTTATACTTCGCTCTTTCAATATTGATCCCACATTTTGTAGGCAAACTATTTACACACAACAGTGGGGCTTGTTTATTTTTGATTTATTGTTATCTTTTATACAAAATAATATTTGTTTTATTCAGTTTAATTCATTTCGTTCAATACATTTATATATGATAGTCTATCCACTTTTTGTACTGTGTAATACTTAACCTGACTCCTATGGGTCTGATCTATGATTTGCCTTTGTTTAACCTTCAGTTTGATCTCGTATGGGGCCGTTGTCACATTTTAGTGAGTTGTAAAGTCGTCTAGGGATGTTTTGGTTATTCTGTGACTGCCTGTAATCTCTTGGCCTGATTCTGTAAACTATCGATAGCGCTGCACAGGATCATTTGTTTGTATTCTCAGTCACCCTGAAGTGTATTTATCTAAATTACGGAAGTGTCTGTTTCTCGCTGTGCGCAAAACTAATGATTTCGGAGAAGTCTTTGTCATTTCACACGGTCGCCTGGAGCCGTCCATTTACTTGAGGAATTGACTAGGTCATACGATAGTTTAGGAGTGAAGAATATCATCCGTAGAACTAGTTGAGATTGTGAAGGTTTTTGGAGGTGTTTTTTTGTTTATATATCACTCGTGATAACGACTCACTTTGAAATGCATTTTTGTGACTTCGTAGTCACGTAGCTTCTTATCGTTTACTTCAATCCTTCACATAGATACTAATTATTAAATCCATTATTTAAGTCTGAAAAGTTTCCTGACATCGGGTCCGTGCTTCTATTTTCGTCACGTTTATATAATATTCATTCAATATGGCGAATAATATAAATTATAGGGGTTTTGGAGTATGTATCACTAACTGGGTGTTTGCAATGACGAAAACAGCACCATGCATGCTTCCCTTTTAGACCTATCCTCGGAAAGGTCATTACATCCGCAAATGACTTATCAATGAGTACTGACCATTACCATGTATCTCTGTTCGTTATTGTTGATTGAATTCAAGTGATAACTTGGAATAGTGTTCATATTGCGAATTAATTGATAGAATCCGGTTTGCACGAAGAAGGATAGGCCACCAATCACTACTAAGTAGCTGAAGTGCAAAAGGCATGACGCAAATATCCAAGCATATGCAGAATAAATAAACAGTTGCTTAAAGTTGCATTCAAAACGCGTATTTAATCCTTTTTGGAACTCGTTATCTTAAAGTTTTTTACTTTCTGAGAGCCAAATTTGGTATCTCGCGCTCTACATGTCGACACATTATCCACCTAGCTACTGATTCTTGATAACCATTCTCTTGTCCATTATGTATGTAATTAAACGTAACTGGTGGTTTTTTGGATTTTCTCGTTGACGTCGCTACTGTATTAGGTAAACCCCCGCTTAACGCACATTTGCTAAAATTATTCAAGCATTTGGTCAGAATATCAACAATAAATTAATCAAAATCACTACAGACAGCAATGAAAAATATTTATGTTGTCTGCAGAAACAGAAATCATAACAAAATATCAGAACACATTCAATTTGATTCATATCCCTCCCTTCGTCCACTAAATTTTCAGGAAGTTTGACAAGCCATTCACACATATAGTGGATTTACAGAATTCAGTATTCACTGCATTATTATTGCCTATAGAACTGTGGGGTTATCAGTAATAATCATCATTTAACTAACATTAATAAAACAGTAAAGGATTCAGGGATGGTTTTGTTATTGAAACAAAAAAGACCCTTTTCGGCCTGGAAGTTCACTGTTCGCATGGATATTTAAGCTCCTTTTCTGTCGGAATAGTACTACTATTACATTTAGATCCAGAGAAAATGAGCGTATACCTCTGAAACCTAAAATTTTAATAGGTTTCAGTACGAGCACATTTTTCATTACTAAAAGGAACCGCGTCATCATTTCCAGACCAGTACATTGATGGGTGTACTGGAAAAAATCTTTAGAGCCTCACTCTTGGCATTACTGGAAAATGAAATATTAAATGCGGTCCAGTGTTTGCTACCCTCTAATATGGTAGCAACGGACATGCTAATTAAATACAGTAGCACCAGAAACAATTAGTCATGACTGCTTGCTTCCAGTCTTACACACCATAGAATCGTATGTTTTCTTTGCAGCCGTTTAAATATCCTAATGAATTTTTACAATAAGAAAGTGTTTCTAACAATCCTGGAACGATATGCCTGCCATATGCGACCATTGAAATCAGGGAAGTCTAATATGGAAAGTTGGGCGTAATAATCCAAATAAATAATGGAGGGCATAATAACGATGTATTATCATGGTCAACATTCATGTCAGTCTCAAAGCATCAACAGTAAAATTAAATGTTGACACATACATCGGGAAAAAAATTAAGAAAACTAGAATGAGGACGTTTCAGACTTCTGAGAGTCCAGATCCAGAACTTAGATCTCCTTAAACAAGAAGTCTCTCACACGACCCAGACAGGGATCCCAATGTTCAAGTAGTTAGCCATTTCATTGAAATCACGAGCATGATAACCATTGAAAAAGTGTAAGCAAATGTTTCTTTCCAATATGCGACTCCTCAAAAGTGTGCATTTATGACCGTGCACTTTTGAATGGATCAAAAGGCTTCCGAACTCTCCCAAGGAGTTGGCTTCCAACGTTAATGTTGTCTAGCTTCAGTCAATTCAAGAAATTGTGCCACCATTTCCCATTGTTTTCAGTTAGTAACTGCCTCATACTCGGCAAAGTTTACCTTCATTGGTCACGGTCACTCAGTACTTCTAGGTTTTTGTTGGTTGTTCAGCTTTGATCGTCTCGTGATTTCATACGTCGGGACTCCATTGAGCCAATATTCGAGAAAGGTCATCAAACGTAATATGCATGATCCAAAAACATTCTCGGAAGAACTCGAAAGGACCTGACCACAAAGCCCTCACGATCTGATGTTTTTTGGCTGATCACACTTTTCTAACCATTATTTAGTTCTGGTACATTGTAGGATTGAAATTTAGCGAGTATATCAAAACGATTTAAAAGCATAAAACTGAATTCAATCTCGACAGAACAACAACTGTCAATGATTAACAAATGTTTTCTTTATCCTGTTTTATTCTCAGATAAGTAAATAAAAATTGGAAATTGTATTATTTGGTTCAACGAAATCTGCCCAACAGATAATGTGGCGCGAAATTCGGCACTTTCGGGGATGGGTAACTATGTAAATTTTCGAGCCAGTCCAGTGAACAAGGAGACAGATAAACACCTAACGCCTATAAAAATACCCAAACACTCGAAAGTCCTAGACCTTGACCCACGTTCACCCAGTGATGGGATAGTAAGAACCCCAATCCAAATAGACAAAGATGACCCATGTTCACCATCTTGTGTTATTCGCACCCCGGTCAGATTTTCTAGTAAATCAGATATTAAAACAAGTAAATAATTTTTTTATTAGACGGACTTAGTCCTGGAGTGCCTTGCTTTAATAACTATGAAACTCCTGATGGTGTTTTGACCGAAGACGATTCAATACACCGAGGTAACAAGTCATCCTCACTGTCGGATACTGAGGTTGCACACAACACGAAAGCTAAGAGTAAGTCTAACTCTCGTATATGCTGCTCACAATGACTGTCTGTGCTCTACTGTCACCATCAGACAGGTCAGTAGAAGAACGATAAGACTACGAGCATGAGATCCAAGGTTCGAGGGCGAAGTCGTACTCCTGGCTGTACAGAGGTGTGCTAGGGAATGATGGTAAATCAGTTAATGAGGTCGTAGATCACCAGCGACTGAGATGGTTGGGTCACATGTTGAGTATGCCAGAACACCGATTACCACGTCGCGCAATGCTGACTAGTGTAGAGGATGGTTGGAAAAAAGTTAGGGGTGGCCAAACCAAAATGTGGCATCAGTCCTTGAAGTCACTAACTTATGGTCTGAACCGCGTTGGTAGATGCAAACAACTTGGTTAGGGTCCGCGTGACTATCATAACCAATGGCTGGAGAGGGTGGGTGTCAAGGCTCAGAATCGGCCACAATGACGTCGGTGTATCAGTCGTCAGTAATAAGGATAGGAGGTCTGTCGACCTATATTAATCCTTGCACTGTCCTCCCTCAAACTATGAGATTAAAATCGCTTCATATCTTTATTTCTACGTACTAATTCTTTCTTCCTGTACTATATCCTTATATGCAATCTTTCTTTTATATATTACCACCATTGACTTAACTACCCGTATGAACCTGGTGTTCATCTTGTTGTGCTAATGAGGTATGGCAACTTGGACCGATGCATATGTATGCCTGGTCCTACGTTGTAGCTGACTGACTGACAAAGGTGTGACGGCAGCAATGTGTTTTCCTCAAACAATGAGCATAACAGTGACGCCTTCCCACAAAGGAAGGGTGAGGTTAGAGAAGGTCGACCCTATAAAGCCCACCTCGCCTTATCCCATAGATATCTGACTCCGGCAGTAAAATTTCAACAAGTGACTTTCCAGGGGTGGGCTTTCTTCCAAGAAATTCACTTGTTGGCCTTGAAAACGTATATGGTTAGTTCTGTTTGGTGAAGACGCTGACAAAATTCAGTTTTCTAACCACCTTCATCAACAATGCAAGCATGTTTGGGATATGGTTCTCCCTCCAAATGTGAAATGTTACTTCAGGATTGGTTTGCGTCAGCGCCTGAATTAATAATAGAGATTTAAGTAGTTGAACGCACTGACCGTTTCACTTATCTTGAGAGTCTCATCAGTCCTGATGGTTTGGTGTCTGACGAAATCTCAACACGTGTTCAGATAGGTCGATTGGACTTTGCTAACTTGCGTCGATTTTGACCTAGGCGAGATAGCTATCTTTCAAGCAAGGGACGGGTTTACTGGGCAACAGTTTTCTCCGCTCACTATAGGAATGTAATCATGGACATTAATTATAGAGGATATCCATAGACATTCAATAAGGCCCCCAAATGCCCTGGTATGGGCGAGAGCGGGGTGGCCTCGCCCTCCCTCTCGAAATACTCTCATACGGCCAAGCGTATGTTGGAACACCGCCATGCTTATCACAAGCCAACAATAGTAGTTTTTCTTGACATCAGGGCTGCCTACGATTCGTTGGACATGACTGTTCGCTGGGATTGTTTTTTGAAGAAGGGTGTGTCTGAGAAGTTCATTAACATCTTAAAGACCCTATACACAAACACCTCAGGTAGAGTGAGGGCATACAACCACCTTTCTTCATTGTTCCATTCAAGCAGTGGGCTTAGGCACGGTTTCCCAATCTCACCATTTCTCTTCAACTTTGTCATCGATGACATTCTGCAAACAGCTCCGATGGATGTAAGTAATGGCGGTGTGGATCTGTTGCCTGGAGAAAGACTTCTCGACCTTGAGTATGCGGATGATGTCTTACTGTGCGATAATGCCCAAACCATGCAATCCACTCTTGATCAGTTAGCAATCAGTGTCCGTAGGTATGGTATGTGCTTTGCACCTTCGAAGTGCAAAGTACTTCTACAAGACTAGCAGGATTCTAATCCTGTACTCACCCTGGATGGTGAACAGATAGAAGTAGTCGGTAAGTTCGTGTATCTAGGTAGCTGCATAAGTACTGGTGGTGGCGCGAGTGATGAGATCAATACACGTATAGTGAAAGCCAGAGCGGCTTATTCCAATCTGGGCCATCTTTGGCGCCTTCGTGATGCCAGTCTAGCTGTAAAAGATCGGATCTACAACGCGTCGGTGAGAGCAGTTTTGCTCTATGCCTGTGAAATCTGGCCTCTCCGAGTTGAGGATGTTAGACGACTCTCTGTGTTCGATCGTCGCTGTCTCCGAAGGATTGCTGACATCTAGTGGCAACACCATGTTAGTAATGTAGAGGTTCAGCATCGTATGTTCGGGCACAGAGATGTTAATGCAATCGATGTCACCATCTTGAAACATCGACTTCGGTGGCTTGGACTTGTTCTCCGAATGTCGTCCCAGAGAATTACACGTCGTACATTATTTGCCGACTCTGAAACTGGTTGGGAGAAGTGGAGAGGTGGTCAGTGTATGACATGGTGTCGTGGTATGAAAGAATTCTGCCTTATTGAGGTATGCTTGACTGTCGTAACCAATGGTTAGAAAATTTAAATGAAATGACTTAATACTGTTTGCAATAGTGCAAGTGTATCCATTCTTTATCTTCCCCAAACCTTAAGATTCTAAGTTCCTCATAACTTTTTTTTTCTTTTTTCAATAATTTTTTCTTTTCTCACCGTATCTTCGTTGCCTAATCTTTACTATTGCCACTGATACTGTTACTACCTCCACTATTCTGCGGTTTGGCCTGACATCTATACTAACGAGGTATGCTAACTTGAACTGGTGTACATACGTACAGGTTCTGCGTTGTAACTGACTGACTGTCTGTGTAGTATCTGCAAGGTTATCGTCATTGTGATAAATCCCTGCTATTGTGGCACATGATTGGCTATTAGTATATGCCCCCAGTGCTTGTTGACATAATTTGTATTTACCTTTGCTGATGATCCCGTAAAGTCTTCATACTCTATAGTTAGATCTACTACCATTTCATTCCCACTGACTGGAATGTGGTAAAAATACTTTTTAAATTGGGCATTCGGAATTAATATTAATTCTTTACTTCACTAGCTGGCTACCTACCTACGTTAGAGTTTTCCTTTTTTATTAGCGTTTTGACCAGGTGGGGTTGTCAGCTCAGAATTTAATCCACGAGTGCATCACTTCAAGTCTTCACACTTTCCCATAATAGAAAGAGTAAAGACTACCAAATCTCGAAGAAAATACAACGCACTGAAAGAAGAGGTCTTGGAAATGAATTGATGACTCATACCAATCCTTGATTTGATAATAATTTAATGCAACTCACTAAGTACAGAACTTTTCAGAGGCTATCGGTACTACTTGGTTGTTCAAAGTGAAGTAGTTTAAAAATCCCCATAGAATATTCAAAAACGAAGAATATTTGAGCGAACAATTGTTTTCAATAACTTCATCATCAGGCTCTACAGTTATAAGTCCATAATTATAATATTTTACAAAGGCCAAGAATAAGGCATGTATTAATGAATTTGACAATGTTATGTGTTAAAAATGGTGAACGTTCTAATTTGCAAATATTACAATTTTTTGAAGTATATATATATATCGTAACAGATGCAAACGTTCACCATTTTTAACACATAACATTGTCAAATTCATTAATACATGCCTTATTCTTGGCCTTTGTAAAATATTATAATTATGGACTTATAACTGTAGAGCCTGATGATGAAGTTATTGAAAACAAAGTGAAGTAGTTAGAAATGGTTCAGACTAACAACCTACTTACTGAAACATGTATAATTTAGCCATTTTTCTAATGAAATACTACTTTAGTTGCATTGTACTCTTAGGTAGACCGTAACTGCAAATTTATTGTATCCTATTGCTTTAGTTACTTACGTCTGTTACTCCTAATGGAGCACAGACCGCTGACCAGCATTCTCCAACCCACTACTTTCGTTACTACGTTGTTATTTACTTGATTTCACTGAGCTATATGCAGAACACCTTATAGGGTACGATTCGACATTCGGAACAACTGAAAAGTACTGCGTCCTCATTAACTTTGTATAGATGAATGCATCTAACTGTAATGCTCCATAATAAAACTCCATCTATATGATAGCTTGTATTTAATATTAAATAACTATTTTCTCTCCGTACTTTTTCAAGCTCACACGTGTGATTCGAATAATAGATTCAGACTGTCTTGGTTTGAGAAACGCATAAAGCGTAAATCTTTATATGATTCACCTGGTCTGTTTGTCAGATTTCGACACAAGCAGAACTATGAAAAGTGTAAGAAGAAGGAACAACAGGTTTGTGAGGAAAACGTGACCAATCCGACCGATATCTCACAACTGAGATCATGAGAAGTCATGTAAATTAAATAAAAGCCTGATTTACTATACTGTTATTCAGAACCCTGTCTTTCTCGGGATTTTTTCCAGTTTTGTACATAAATATGCATTTTCTCTTACTCATCACTTTTTGTGAAAAAAATTCTCATCGATATCCTTTAATCTTATTGTTGTTTATCAACTAAACCATTGTAACACTTTATTTCACTCCTCTTTTGTAATTATTAGAATGGGGATTTATGAAGAATGTAATAATTTTAACAGTTGACTAATAATTCACTGCTCCATGGTTTATCGTAAGCGTAAAATTGATCGTTTTGACTCTCGTTACGTGCCCATTCTGATTTGAAAGTGTAGTATATGCAGTTTTCGGAATCTGTGTAACTGTCTTAATGATAATGTATCTATTGTGTAAATCCCATTCCATATGATGGATAGATGGATGCTCATTTCTAAACGTATGCAGAGTTCAAGCAGTCAGATCATCTTTTAAGGATTTAATGATAATGGCTTTTAGCAATATACAAAAAAATTTATGAGACTCCTTTTAGCTAAGCTAAACAATAATTTGTTCCAGTCGATTATAAGAAGTCGCATTAGAGTCTGTTTATCATCATAAGTTCCGTAGCAGTATCTTAGTACATAGTTACCTAAGTGAGAAAGTGTTCATGAAATCGTTGTTAACCTAATTCCATTTGAAACTTTTATGTATAAACCGCTTAGTTCTAACCTTTTCTGGTAGACTATGTTAACTAACTAGAAGGTTATTCATGCATTATTTCAAGTAATCTCTGTCGGTGAACTTGTTGAAGGACTTGTGAGTTTGTGTCAACACCTTTTCATAAGATTGGTATTCCTGTATTTACATACGAAAGGATATACTTCATAACATGAGCAAAAACAAATCTTCATATGTACCAGAATTAGATTACAATATTTTTACTCATCACTCTCCTACATGTATAGCGGGATTTAAAAGCCCAAACTGTCCATATGTATTAGCTATTGCTAGAGCAATTATTATTGTGGAAATAGTTTGAATACCAGAATAGGAATATGGCTTTTATACTTCGTATTCAGGTTAACACCGAAAGTCTAGTTTTACTACATATTCCTCACTTAGCTTAAATTAGGTTAGATCAAACCTTGTACATAATCTATCATCACTCAAGCAGCGTGCGAAGGAAAGCAGAAAACATATGTTCAAAATTACTTAGGTTGACTTTTAATACTCTACTGTCTAGTGATGTGTGGGTTACAAAATTGACACTTTTAATCGGTATTTTTGCTTCAGTGACCTTGATGTTTGTTTTGCCCATAAACATCCTGTTTATCATCTAGATTCATCACGTCTAGTGATTGCGTATTTACAAGAAGTATTTATCAGTCTAACTTTACGCATTTCCATTTCCATATACACAATAAAAAAGAAACCCTACGTCCAACTAAAATTTATGAAGTTCTACCATATTGTTTACCTTGTCACAATTTTTTTGGTCAATCTATAACCCCATATGTCTGGTGATTTAAAACAAATAAAAACGATCTAAAAATTTTGATTGTTAGTATAAGAGATTTAAAGAGAAAATGTTCTGTAACCAACTAATTTTCGTTAATATAATTCCAGTGATGTGATAATTGACAGCCGGTATACACATACACCTAGTTTCGGTTATAAGTGTTCAAGATCAACTTTAAATAATTCTAATAAATAGAGAGCAAGAAGGGAACTATGTGCATGAAATTTCTAACAAATAAAATAAGTGGGAAAATTGGATTTTCTGACCTTTTGTGACTCTGTAATCCACCCAATGCTCTATTTATTCGAAATTATCAAGTCAAACCCTGGTAATCATGCCTTCAGATAATTCATTTCTTAGTGTCTGTCATGAACGTCTGAGCCACTCAGTTCAACAGATGTATTTGTCTATTTTAGCAAAGCAGTTGACTGAAACATGTGTATCCTAGTGATGCGTAGTAGTGTTATATTTGATAAGAAACTCAAATACTTGGATAGAAATACAGTTGTCCATTATGTATATTAGCAAATCACTACTGGTTAACACGTTAGCATATTCTCGTCCGGGAACACTGACATCAAAGGAGAAAGAGACAAATGTTTCAAGACGGAATTTCCTATTTGTTTGATAACAATTGTCCTATCCAAGTTGCTATAGAGATGTCTGATTAGTTCTGCATGACAACCTTTATATTAACCATATATAGATCCAAAATATTTAAAAGGTTGTGGATTTTATCTTGTAGAAGTTAATTGGGAGAATGATTTGGTCTACTTCATGAACAATGAAAAGCATGATGAGAAAACCATTCCATATGTTTAGTGGCAATGAGTGGTGTTATGTAGTTATTTTCTGTGCTATATAGTCAGGGATATTGCTTGGTTCTATTAAGTGATCTCAACTTCCTAATTATTACATTGGTACTTAGTCGATCTTACCTTCCCAATCTGTTCATTTTAATGACTACAATTGTCATCACATGTTAATAATAACTGACAGTTATAACTAGTCAATCCCAATATACAAGTAGTGTTTGTTTTGTATTTTTAGATTCGGTTAATCAGCTATCACAGATTTATATGTTACTATACTATGTTATGGTGATATTCGAATTCAAAATTCCATATCACCATGTAAATAGTCGTCATGTGAACTAGTGACTTGTAAAGGTACTTTCTGGAATTCTGGTGACAAGTCATGAACTGTCGAGTTCAACCATGTCGCGTTAGAAAATATATCGCTAGTAGATAATGGTCGCTTAATTTTGCGAATTGACTGAAATTAGAATTGCGAACTATTAGATATCAGTCCATTAGTCTGAAGGTTTAGTGCTCGCTGCGAAAGCTAAGATTTCGGGATTCGAACCCTGGTAGTGTCGTGGATAGGAGCTACTGAGTATCAGGAAGAAGTAAAGCATACAACTCAGTAATTTAATTCTAACTGTTAGTTGAAGCAGTTCAACCTACCGATTTTGTAAAATTTGCACACTAACTTAGTGATTATTAATATTAACTACTGCCACTTAAACATGTCCGTTTATCTGTTGATTCGACATTTAAAATAATGCATATTATTTGCACATTTTCATATCGTTTCGATCTGTTGTTGGTGCATTATTATATTTATATTCGCGATTTTGCATCCTTTACACTTAGTTGTATCAGACTTCCATTGAATAATCAGCAAGTAGTAAGCTATTCTGCAGTCATACCGACATCATACGAGTATTTCGGTATGACTTTGCAATGAGAATTCCAAAACCAGGGTGAAATAGTTGTCCACTACTTTCTGGTTATCTAACCGAGGTGCATGATTTATATCGAAACCTTAAATTCTAATATTTTCTGTATTGTATGGTATGTAGTATTACGTGCAACAAACTTTCATCACTTTTTTGATGCAGTTATATCCACTTTAACCGGGCGGAAAAATTAATGAAAGATGTTACCTGAATAATAACAATGAGCTCTTAAGTAAATCCACTTTCTCTTAGGGAAGAATGATCTGTTTAGATGTAAAGTGTTTAGTTTCACATTCAGTAGTCAACATAATTTTACTGTTATATGTTAACATACTGAATTATAAAATAAACTTGTTAGTTACCAGTTTGTTTGTTTGTTTACTTATATTCACGTGTACCTATGATTTCTTTTGCTAGATGGGACAAAGTCTAGTGGCTGAAGTGAAATTATTCACTTGTAATTCTCTTCACATGTTAGGATTATACATTCATTTGAAAGACATGAGATTCTAGCTGCTCTTCAGATCTATAATCAAGACGATCTTTTAATTAATTCAATTTGTAATGGTTCGGATTAGACGTTGTTGATAATTTGACTGAACTTCGATCATTCTTGATTGGGATATGTACATCATCTGGAGGTTGCTTCTGCATAGTCATTATATCCCAATTTCTCGTCTTCCCGCTTAAGTATTCATTTTGGAGGGTGAGTACGCATCACTCATTATAACACTATCATTTCCTTTTGTGGAGAGTGATGGATATTGGACGATCTTAAGGAAAGAAACAAGTTAAAAGTAGATTGCCTCTATAAAATACGAAACTCTAAATTTCTCGGTGATGAAGTTTCGCCAAGTTGTATACTCGATCACTAGAAATTTCATATTCACTGTGATATTATCCATTTTCAGCTCTACCACTAGTTTTATATTTTATTGCTCATCCCTCATATATTTCTACAACAAAAACCATTCATCTTGTTCACAAAAAACTACTTAATCAACAGAATGTTCTACTATTGTTAATCAAATGTAACTTCAAGTTCATAATGTGTACACGTTTATTACGTTGATAGAAAGCAGATGATATAGGAGTTAACATTTCAGATCATTGGTCATTGAGGTAGAGAATTTTCTGTTACAGATTTGAAATTATTCTGCAACGTGATTAAAATAACTTTATTGGACAAACTACTCTACTGTGATGGTAGAAAAGATTTGTAGCTCAGGTGGATGATTTTGATGGAGTTTTGTTCTCTAAGCTGGATGGTTATTTATTCCATTTGAACTCCATTTGAATTATCGTATCAACATCTTATCGATTATGTCACATCTTAATTAAAATGACTTACTATCAAGTGATTGAATTATACTTTAGATAACAATCTGATTAATTCTATACGAATTTATTCTACAGATAAGTTTATTTGAAAGTAATATATTTTCCTAAGGAGCTTCTCTGATAAGTTAGTGGTTACTCTCTTCGTTTTCTTTGAACTTGTCTTATCATCCATCATATAGTGTTTCAATTTCAGAATATTCAGCTTTAACAATATTAAATATAATGTCAAAAATAATTCAACATCAGTTATTATGAAAGTTTATTAATCAAGTTTGTTACTATGTGAATATTAGATACATCTCCATATGATCAAGGCAGTCCACTCTCCCCATTCTTGTTCAACTTTGTGGTCGACGTACTTTTAGAGATAACACTCTCCTCATCTAAATTTCCAGGGGTTGAACTTCTACCAGGAGGTTCACTTGTTGACTTAGAATATGCTGATGACATAGTTTTATTTGGTGAAGACGCTGACAAAATGCAGAGTCTTAAGACCACTCTAAGCAACAATGCAAGCATGTTCGGGATGCGATTCTCTCCTTCGAAATGCAAAATGTTGCTTCAGGATTGGGTTACATCGACACCCGAACTAGTGATAGGGAGTGAAGTAGTTGAGTGTGTCGACCGCTTTACTTATCTTGGAAGTCTCATCAGCCCCTGTGGTCTGGTGTGTGACGAAATCTCAGCACGGATACAGAAGGCTCGACTAGCTTTTGCCAACTTGCGTCATTTATGGTGTAGGCGAGATATCCGTCTGTCAACCAAAGGACGTGTTTACTGCGCAGCAGTTCGTTGCGTCCTACTTTATGGCAGTGAAACATGGCCGGTAATAGTAGAGGATATTCGTAGGTTACTAGTATTCGATCATAGGTGTCTTCGAAACATTGCTCGTATATCATGGGACCATCGAGTAAGTAACACAGTTGTTAGTAAACGGGTACTAGATAAGGATGGCAAATCAATTGATGAAGTAGTGAAACTTCATCAGTTGAGATGGCTGGGACATGTGTTACGTATGCCCAACCACCGACTGCCTCGATGTGCGATGTTCAATGGTATAGGAGTAGGTTGGAAGAAAGCTGGGGTCGGCCAGACCAAAACATGTCACAAGTTCATGAGTCACTGACAAGTGAACTGAGTAATGTTGGTAGGTGTAGACTACCTGGTTGGGGACCGCGAGATGATAGCAACCGATGGTTAGAGACCCTGAATGACATGGCTCAAAATCGTTTGCAATGGCACAGGTGCATCCACTCTCTGTGTTCTCCCAAATTCTGATCTTCTGAATTCTTTATATTCCTTTCTTTTTTCTCTTTCCAAATTTATTTCACTGGATTATACTCTTTAAATAACATCTCCAAACCCTAATCTTCCCGATTGCTGCTTATACTCTTATTACCTCTACCACTACGGGATTTGGATCGACAACTGCATCTCT